ATATATATATATAATATATATATCTTAATAAAAATGTATCAGTGACTGTGAGTTTTGCAAACGTGTCATAGTAATATTTTATTAGTGTTAATGTTAACCCCACCAAGAATATTTAAAAACACTGAACCATGTGTTCATCTTTAATGTCTGTTCTCCTGAGATTTACAGAGGAACAAATGGTGAGAATGAGTTTAGATTCAGCTCTGACTGATTCAACACAGATTCTTCATGTCTCCTGAGAAACAGGTCACACTGAGTGGAGCGGGCGACCGTTCCAAGATGGCGGCCCTAAATATCGTCAGCGCCAATAGACGATAGAGGTCAATGGTGGATCTAGTCATTATGATATCTATGTTTTCTTCTCCGGACCTGCAGGTGGCGCCAAATCAGCGGATTCCTTCCGGTTCAATCAAGGATTGACGTATGTGCGTGTCGGCAGCAGTCCTGCTTTGTTAGTTTACAGAAAATCGTTCTGAGCTGATGTAAGTAAAGAACACGACGTGCTACAGCTGCATCGGTTATTGTTGATTGTACGTTTTATTTGTTACCGAGGTTAGAGAAAAGTCATGATGCCATTTTTTATCTGCAGCTAGCCCGAAGATAACGTTAGCTTCCTTTAGCCCGAAGCTAACGGGCTAAAGGAAGCTAACGTTAGCTTCCTTTAGCCCGTTAGCTTCCTTTAGCCCGGAGATAACGCTAGCATCGATGTAAAGGAAGCTAACGTTAGCTTCCTTTACATCGATGCTAGCGACACTCATAGATATCATATATAAACATATGATATCTATGAGTGTCGCTAGCGTTGGCTTTATTTACATCGATGCAAGTATCTCCATAGATAACGTGTATATAAACATACAGGTCCTTCTCAAAAAATGAGCATATTGTGATAAAGGTCATTATTTTCCATAATGTAATGATAAAAATGAAACTTTCATATATTTCAGATTCATTGCACACCAACTGAAATATTTCAGGTCTTTAATTGTTTTAATACTGATGATTATGACATACAGCTCATGAAAACCCAAAATGCCTGTCCCAAAAAATGAGCATATCATGAAAAGGTTCTCTAAACAAGCTATTAACCTAACCATCTGAATCAACGACGTAACTCTAAACACCTGCAAAAGATTCCTGAGGCTTTTAAAAACTCCCAGCCTTGTTCTTTACTCAAAACCACAATCATGGGTAAGACTGCCGACCTGACTGCTGTCCACAAGGCCATCATTGACACCCTCAAGCAAGAGGGTAAGACACAGAAAGAAATTGCTGAAGGAATAGGCTGTTCCCAGAGTGCTGTATCAAGGCACCTCAGTGGGAAGTCTGTGGGAAGGGAAAAGTGTGGCAGAAAACGCTGCACAACGAGAAGAGGTGACCGGACCCTGAGGAGGATTGTGGAGAAGGGCCGATTCCAGACCTTGGGGGACCTGCGGAAGCAGTGGACTGAGTCTGGAGTAGAAACATCCAGAGCCACCGTGCACAGGCGTGTGCAGGAAATGGGCTACAGGTGCCGCATTCCCCAGGTCAAGCCACTCTTGAACAAGAGACTGCGTCAGAAGCATCTCGCCTGGGACTGCTGCTGAGTGGTCCAAAGTTATGTTCTCTGATTACAGTAAATTTTGCATTTCCTTTGGAAATCAAGGTCCCAGAGTCTGGAGGAAGAGAGGAGACACAGAGTTCACATTGCTTGAGGTCCAGTGTCAAGTTTCCACAGTCACTGGGGTGTCATGTCATCTGCTGGTGTTGGTCCACTGTGTTTTATCAAGGGCAGGGTCAATGCAGCAGCTATCAGGAGATTTTGGAGCACTTCATGCTTCCATCTGCTGAAAAGCTTTATGGAGATGAAGATTTCATTTTTCAGCACGACCTGGCACCTGCTCACAGTGCCAAAACCACTGGTAACTGGTTTACTGACCATGGTATTACTGTGCTCAATTGGCCTGCCAACTCTCCTGACCTGAACCCCATAGAGAACCTGTGGGATATTGTGAAGAGAAAGTTGAGAGAACAAGACCCAACACTCTGGATGAGCTTAAGGCCGCTATCGAAGCATCCTGGGCCTCCATAACACCTCAGCAGTGCCACAGGCTGATTGCCTCCATGCCACGCCGCATTGAAGCAGTCATTCATGCAAAAGGATTCCCGACCAAGTATTGAGTGCATAACTGAACATGATTATTTGAAGGTTGGTGTTTTTTGTATTAAAAACACTTGTCTTTCATTGATGGGATGAAATATGCTAATTTTTTGGGACAGGCATTTTGGGTTTTCATGAGCTGTATGCCATAATCATCAGTATTAAAACAATTAAAGACCTGAAATATTTCAGTTGGTGTGCAATGAATCTGAAATATATGAAAGTTTCATTTTTATCATTACATTATGGAAAATAATGACCTTTATCACAATATGCTCATTCTTTGAGAAGGACCTCTAAGTCCTCATCCTGTCAGCTCGATCCATTTCCCACAGTTCTTGTTAAATCCTGTCTCCCGTCTCTGCTCCCCATCATCACTAACATCATCCACTCCTCCCTAACCTCTGGCATTGTTCCCACAGCTTTCAAATCTGCAGCCATCACCCCCATCATCAAGAAACCAGGTCTTGACTTTACCAACTTCAGTAACCTTCGTCCGATCTCTAATCTGCCCTTTATTTCCAAAGTTCTCGCAAAAGCTGTTGCTAGTCAACTTCACTCTCACCTATCCAACAATAACATTTATGAAGAGTTTCAATCTGGTTTTTGCCCCCACCATAGCACCGAAACGGCTCTAATAAAAATAACTAATGACCTTCTTGCTGCTGACTCTGCTCTTCTGTCGATCCTCATTTTACTGGATCTAAGTTCTGCCTTCGACACAATCTGTCATTCTATCCTCCTCAACAGACTAACCTCCATTGGCATCTCAGGTACTCCGTTAGACTGGTTCAAATCATATCTCTCTGACCGCACTCAATTCATTCAGCTTAAATCCTTTTGTTCCCAGTCATCCCCCGTCTCCACGGTTGTCCCCCAAGGCTCTGTCCTCGGACCCCTCCTCTTCATCATTTACCTCCTTCCTCTAGGTCACATCTTCCGTAAATTTGGTTTCCATTTTCACTGTTATGCTGATGACACACAGCTCTACTTGTCAACAAAACCAAACTCCACCCACCCTCCATCCTCACCGACTGTCTCATTGAGCTAAATCTTTTGTTTTCTAACAATTTACTACAACTAAACAGTAACAAAACAGAAATCATTCTTGTCTGTACAAAAACTCTCTTTCAAAATCAGAACATCTTCTCATCCCCCTTAACAACTCTCTGCTATCCCCCTCGCCTCAGGTCAAGAGTCTTGGTGTCATCCTCGACACCACTCTCTCCTTCACTTCACACATCAACAACGTCACTCGGTCTGACTATTTCCATCTCCGAAATATTAACCGTCTCTGCCCTTCTCTCACACCCCGCTCCACAGCCATCCTTGTTCACAGTCTTGTGACTTCTCAGATTGACTACTGCAACTCCCTTCTTTATGGCCTCCCCAACAAATCTCTCCAGAAGCTACAATTGGTCCAGAACTCAGCTGCCCGTGTCATCACTCAAACCTCCTCCTCCTATAACCACATCACTCCTGTCCTGCAGCAGGTCCACTGGCTCCCGGTTAAATCACTCATCGTCTTCAAAATTCTTCTTCTCACTTTCAAAGCTATCCACAACCTTTCCCCTCCGTACCTATCTGACCTCCTACACATCTCCATCCCCTCTCGCTCTCTCAGATCCTCCTCTTCACTACACCTCCATGTACCCTCTGCCCGCCTCTCCACCATGGGGAGCAGGACCTTCACCTGCTCTGCTCCTCATCTCTGGAACTCTCTACCCCCTGACTTAAGAAACACCACCTCTCTTTCTCTATTCAAGACTGCTCTGAAAACACATCTCTTTAGACTCGCTTATCCTTAACTTTGCTCTATGTATTTTATATTCTTTATGTATTTTATATTCTTTATGTATTTTATATTCTTTATTCCTGATCTTTGTTCTTACTGTAAAGTGTCCTTGGGTGTCATGAAAGGCGCTTTTTAAATAAAATGATTATTATTATTATTAACTCTCATCCTGATATCTCAGGCAGTAAAACGAGTCCCGGCAGCTGTTGTTGTTTGTTTGTTTGTGATTTTAGAAAACAAGCAGTCACGTTTTGTTTTGGATTTCTCCTCCTTCCAGCTCAGACAGCTGGTTTACACGTAAACGTTTTGTGTCCCAGAATTTAAAGCGTCTACTGTTTGTTTTCAGATTTTAAGGGTCCACTGAGGAGGAACTTCCTCTTCCTGTCAGTCCAACATGGCTGACATCAAGAACTTCCTGTATGCCTGGTGCGGAAAGAAGAAACTGACCCCGAACTACGACATCCGCCCTGCGGGCAGCAAGATCCGGCAGAAGTTCATGTGTGAGGTGAGTCCTCCTCCCACCTGTGTCCCATCAGGACACTTTTGACGTTTCTAATCTTGACCGCGTTCCTCCTGCAGGTTCGAGTCGACAGCTTCAACTACGTCGGGATGGGAAACTCCACCAACAAGAAGGACGCTCAGAGCAACGCCGCCCGGGACTTTGTGAATTATCTGGTCCGAGTGGGAGAAATGAGTGCAGCCGAGGTCCCGTCTCTGGGGGTGAGCACGGCCTTTTCTCTAAAACTCATTTACTGACGCTCAGAACTTCATGAGCAGCTGAGTGATCCAAACCTCAGCTGCTGCGTTTTCTGACCCCCTACACACACCATGACCTTTGACCTCAGCTGCTGTAGGTCTCCGAAGGTAACGCTTAGTTTTTACCAACAGGTCGGGTTTGCGGGCGGAGACCAGCCCGCAGAAGGAGAAGGAGGAGGAGGAGGGAACGGGACTCTTCCTCCTGACGGTCCTCTGCCTCCTCATCTGGTTGTCAAAGAGGAAACAGGTAGAACCAGTTTGGACCCGTCCAGACGAACGTCCCAGATGCTGAAGTGCTTCCATCTGTCTGGTCTTTGTCCAGGTGAAGGTGGTACCAGAGGTCCAATCCCAGGAGTGACGGGACAGGGTTACTCAGGAGGAGGAGGAGGAGCTCAGTGGGAGCGAGGAGCCAACCTGCAGGAGTACTACGCCAGGAAGGAGGAGCAAGAGGCTGAAGCGGTACCAGACTGTGAGAAATGTTCTGGATGTTGAGCTTCAGAGCCGTTGTCCAACCTTTGCCCGTGTTCTGTTCTCAGACCCTGGAGTCCGAGGAGGTGGACCTGAACGCCAACCTCCACGGGAATTGGACCCTGGAGAACGCCAAAGCCCGCCTGAACCAGTTCTTCCAGAAGGAGAAGACCAGCGCCGAGTATAAGTACAGCCAAGTGGGCCCGGACCACAACAGGTCTGGACCACAGAACCCTCAGCAGCACATCTGAACCAAACCCAGTTCGTGCTGTAGACTCTGAGCGCTGTAGGATTTCAGGAATCATTTTTGTTCTGTAGACAAGTTCAACGTGACCAGTTCTGGTTCCCCTCAGGTCCATTTGGTGTGGACTTGATGGTTAGCTGCAGGGTGGTTCACTTTCTTTTACTGGACGTTTGGAGCGGTTCTGAGGTTCTGTCTGCTGCAGCTTGTTTGGAGTGGTTCAGAGGTTCTGATGTTCAGAGGTTCTTATGTTCAGAGGTTCTGATGTTCAGAGGTTCTGATGTTCAGAGGTTCT